TGTGGTTGATTAAGGTCCTAACACGATCGTGTGTAAATGGGAGACCCGATCGGGTGAGTCATCTATCCCTCTTTGGCACAAGTAGAATGGGCACTGCACAAGGGCTTAAGCTTTCACATATATAACCCTTAGATAATAAATCTTGTACCTGCGTTTGGAGTTCCTTAGTCTCCTCGGGGTTCATATGGTAAGCGGGACGATTTGGAAGTGGTGCTCCTGGCACAAGATCGATTTGGTGTTCGATACCGCGAATTGGTGGTAACCCCGCAGGTGGTTCCTCGGGGAAAACGTCTTGAAAATGCTCTAGGAGCTTCTTAATTTCCGGGGGATACACAATCTGATCCGAACATGCGCTCAACACTTCCTTGAACACCATTAGTGAAACCAAATGTTCATCTAGTAGAGCTTTACTTACCGTGCTTGGTTTCATGTAGAAGTTCAGCTTTTTGTTGGTGTCTCCTTCCTTGGAGAGCTTAACTTGCTTCTCGTGAACCTGTGACGGACTAAGAAGAGCCAACGATATCTTACGCTTGTTAAATATAAAAGAGTAGTGGTTGGTCTTACCATCGTGCTTCACCTTTCGGTCGAATTGCCAAGGACGTCCAAGGAGTATGTGACCCGCCTGCATTGGCACAACATCGTACATCACCTCATCTTGGTAACGTCCAATGCTAAATGACACTTTGACCCGCTCATTTACCTTGAGTTTTCCTTGGTTGTTGAGCCATTGAAGCTTGTATGGGTGTGGATGTTTCTCGGTCTCCAATCCTAGTTTCTTAACCATGTATGCACTTGCAACGTTAATACATGATCCACTATCAATGATTAGGCCACATACCTTGTTCTAATAGTGCATAGACTATGGAAGATTGTCTCTCTTTGGACGGTTTCTTCCGGGTTTGTCATTGTGTTCAAAACTCGCCTTGTGACCAAGAGTTCTCCGTTGTTGGATACTCTATGTTCTCCTCAACATTGCCAACTTCCTCTTCGTCCATGGATTCATAGTCTCCCATATCCGTGAGGATCATAACACGGTTGTTTGGGCAGTCCCTTGCATAATGTCCTCGTCCCCTATTTTGTAGCAAACAATCTCATGTGAACGTAACTCAACGGGAGTTGATTTGTTACCTTTAAGATCTGATCCCGAAGATGTTGCTATGCCTTTCCCTTTGTCACGGACATTTGCCTCGGGTTGATTTGATTTGGTTGTTGGAACAATTCCGGACTTGTTCTCATTGCGTGTATACGATTGGTTCGAAGGGGTTGTTCTTGCTCGGTTAAAACGAGCTTGCTTCATGGCAATTTGATGCTCAATTTGGATTGAGATATGGATAAGTTCTTGCAAATCATGATAAGCTAAACGTTCTACCTTTCGAGCAATTTGCTCATGCATTCCATCCACAAATTGTGCCATAACTGCTTCTTCGCTTTCGTCTAACTCCAATCGGTTTCGTAGGTGCTCGAACTCCTCATAGTATTCTTCAATGGTTCTAGTTCCCTGCACCAAGTTACGATATTTGCGTTGCAAGTCACGATGAAAATGTGGAGGTACATACCTCTTACGCATCATGAACTCCATCTATCTCCATGTTGTGACAGGTTCGTATTGTGCTCTACGCCTCTAGGTTATTTCTCGATCCCACCATGCTAAGGCGTTGTCGGTGAGTTGTGTCACTGCGTATCTAACCTTCCTCTGATCCGAATACTCATAACATTCGAAAATATTGTCCATCCACCTCTCCCAATCCAGATAGGCATCCAGATTAATTCTATCCGCGAATGTAGGCATTGAAAGTTTTGGATCATTACCTCGTTGGATTCGTGGTGCTTGCACGTAGTCCTCTTCTTCATCCGAATCAATCTGATGTTGATGAGCACGAGCCTCCCTACGCCTTGGAGGAGGGTTATGTGGTGCATCATCTCGGTCCCTTTGTGGTTCTTCTTGTCTTTGAAAGTTAATTCGAACGGGTTTGAGACAACGCAGAATCTGTTCTAAACGTGTTAAACTTTCTTGGATTTGTTGCAACGCTTGAAGCCTTGAAGGATGGTTTAATTGCTACTTTCTCCATCTCTCGACATGATTCTTTTTGTCTTTTCTTAAAAGTGTTTATCAAACAAAATTCAAAGAAAAAACAGAAAGTAAAAGTTGAAAAGGAATGAGATGAATCAGACTTACCTCTTCGTCGAAACAGATTATTTTTTTTGTGTTTTCCGTTTTTTTCTTCAAAGAAAAATGTGTAAAAACGAAACAATTTATAAAAGAAAATTGCAGAAGTGAACCCTTACCTCGTTGGTCCTTGAACCGGGCTCTGATATCAAAAATGATATGCACCTCGGTCCATGAACACGAAGGAGATTTCGGACAGATTGGACAGATTCGGGTTTTCTCGGTAAACAATGTTTAGGTTGCGGTTTATGGAATTTTTCTTTGAGATAGAGACTCAAACCTGAGGTTCTGATCCTAGAATACTCATCTAAGGTTTAGGGTCAAAAATTGCAGAAGAAACAAGAAGAAAAAGATAGGATTCCCGGACACACCAAGAACAAGGTTTGGACACACCAAGCAAAGGGATTTCTCGGACAAACCAAGAACAAGAACAAAAATACTCAAAAGCTTTATTCAAAGATGATCTTCAAGCTTACAATTTCGTGCTCTAATATAGGAGAAAGAAGAAGATTACAAAAAACGAAAGAAAATAACTCATCAACATGAAAAATGGAAAAAGATCAAAATGGAAATTGTCTCTAGGTAGAAAAGAAAACTTCGAGATTGTTTCTTGTTGCATCATCAACGGCCAAATTGTGTTTTTGGCAAGAAATTCTCTGATTTCCCATGTCATGTGCTAGTTCATGAACTTCCCTTATTGGTGTTGATGATTATGCTTGAAATCTTGGCTAACTTTCTTGTTTGTTGCTGCAGATTGATGATGTGTCTTTGAGGTGGAAAGTTGCCTAAATTTGAAGCCTCTTGTTCACCCCCGTTTCGTCGCACCGTTAACCCGTCCCAGACTCCATACCATCCATGCATCATTCAATAATCACAAATATCATTAAACATGCATAGATTCAATGATTACATGCAATTTAACGATTAAATCATGCAATCATACAACAAGCACGACGATATACAGAGAACCAGGCTCTGATACCACTGTTGGGAAATCTACGGGTTCCTAGCATGCGATCATATCGATCTAGGGTTTGGTTTACTAGGTTTCATGCAGCGGAAGAAAGATCTAAACCTAGTTAAACGTCACACGCAACCAAACTTGCAAAACCCGAAAGATCGTGTATATCACTGAGGGAATCGTTACTTACCTCGTTCTCGATGAAACTTGAAGCAAGGTTCGATCTGGGGCCTTTTTTAAATCACCTAGGACTGAAGTTACAGTCCCTCTACACGTATCCACACCGACGGAAAAGATTCCAAACGATTTGGAACGTAACTGCTAGGATTAGTGAAGAAAAGGGTAACTCAACAGACGAGATCCAATCCCGGAACAATAGAAATCGAAGAGAACAGGTTCTCTAGGGTTTTAGGATGTTTCTCTCAGTTTTAAGGCGGTCTTAATTAAGTTTTGGCGAAATCCCAAACTTAAATAAGCTTAGAAAACCCTAAATCCGAATTTTAAGAAATTCCCAGATCCCAGTCCGCCGGACCAAGCTTAGTCCGAGGCTCTCAAACCGCCTGACCTGGAGGTTTGGTCCGGCTGACCAACTTTTGGTCAGCTCCGGACCAAACCTCTTGGTTCGTCTTTCCGGTCCGCCTGTCTTCGGTCTCGGTCCGTCTGACCCAGCGTCTGGTCCGGGGCTGACCAACGTTTGGTCAGCCGGACCAGACCTGGATAGATGACCTTCGGATCAAACTTTTGGACCTTCTGGGCTGACCGACTTGATCCGGGGCTGACCAAACTTGGCCAGCTCCGGACCAACGCACTGAAAACCTCTTTTCATGCTCGTTTCGGTCAAATCTCGTTTCCATTCTTCGGATTCTTCACATAATAAGTTCATACCTAGTGGTGTGTGACCCTGTAGGCTCATTCTAAGCGGTAGTGACTTCGGAACCTTTCCCGAACCACAAGTCATAGTTAGTCTCTAGCAAGACATCATGACCACCCATATAGAATTGAGTTAGAGGTGATCTAACGAAGGCATTAACAACTCAAATTTTGATCCTTTGTCTCACGATATCATATGTTGAACAAGGACATGGTTTAAGCCACCCTTCAAGTTCAACCGCTTTCTCGTCTTGGCAAATCGACTAATAAAATAGATGCAACTTCATATATAGCGTGGCCACGCATTTATCATAGTCCGACTTCCCACAAGAGGGCCCAGCGATATCTCTCCTGTTAAGGAGGTGACAAGTCTCATATTGCATGCCTACTATCTCCATATGATTCGTGAACGTATCTGATCAATGCCGTTATAATCATCCGGTTAAAGACGACGTTTGACGCAGTCAAGACACGCCACTCCTCATATCAGATAATCTAGACATCTCAGGTATGAGGATCCAAGAACGAGTCATTGTATGAGATTCAAGTCATGACTCTGTCCATGTGACAATCTCATGCAGGTCATCCAGTCACTCGTTCACAACTAGTACCCATGACTGTGATAAGGATCCAATGCATCGATCACACCTCATGCTAGTCTTAATTCATCATTGTTTCCATAACGATAACTGACCAAGGAGTTTAGAATCATTCTCTAATGATTCAAGGATGCCGAAATACAACAAACATGTCAATCGTATAACAGAAAAAAGTTATGCATTCATAAATCAATAAATCAATACAAAGTCAAATGTCATATCACGGATCATCCTAGAGCATTACAACCAACAATTATTTGGATAGTGTCAAATTTGTCCATGTGTATCAGTGTCATGTCTTTGTATAGAATAAGTAGACTAAAACTCGAAACACTCATTCTTCTTAATTTTTGCAGAAGAGAAAAAAAAGATAATATTTGAAAGTTTTCATTCATAATTCATATATTCACAATTAGAAGATCGATTTAACTTCATGATTATCCAATCGAAGAAGCAAACAGAGTGAGTAGTCACTACTACACATAAAAGCTTATTTCCAGAGACAGATAACTTGGAACATACTGTCTGATAAACACAAACACACATTTTGACACAAACCCATTAGAGATTCAGAGATACAGACTCTATAACTCGTAAGTCATGCCGACTTTGAGAAGCTTCGATCGAGGGATGGCGAGTGATTTATCTCCTTCTCTGCAGTTCTTCTTCAAGAAGTTGTAGGCATGGTTAACTATGAACTTCTTGAATAGAGATGATGAATTGTTCTCAGCCATGATTTCTGTTTCTCCCATGAGATAAACCACTCCTTTTTCTCTTGCTTTACCCACAAAATCGGTCTGATCCTCAGTGATCTGGATACGTTCCGAAACAACCTTGTTCGAAACTGAAGAGTTTATCGACACGATTCTTCCGGATGAACGGCGAGAAACGTTAGTTGAGGATACATTGATCTCATTTACTTTCTCCGATGATGAATCATCATCGCCTTGAACGGCCAATTGTTTTCCCGTTTCTTCGTTCACAAGTACTGTTGAAACATTGTTGTTCTCGAGTTCTAGAGCTCCTCCTCCGCTAATGAAGTACTCGTGACGGATAAACTCTTTCAGGTAATGCACTAATTGACGCTCAAACTCGTGTGGATCTTCGATATCTTCCTTGTAACCATACCTCACCACGCATTTGAACATTCCGAAATCTCGTGGTTCAACATAGCGGAAAAGAAACCGCTCTGATAAAGCCACTCGGTTCACGGGAAGTGACTTAATCGAAACCAATACGAACACTGAGTGAACTGATGAAACATTCGATATGTAGTGTGAAAACAAAGGAGTGATACCTTGGACAAGCTCTGTGTAGAAGAGTCCAATCCCCGGAACACGGTGTATGTTAGGGTTTCGAGCCAAATCCCGGGTGAATTCGCTTGAGATCTTCTCCCTGAGCTCATACCGATACTTAAGGATATGAACATAATGCCAAATCGCCATTATTACCATCAAAACACCAGCGAGAGCAAGTGGCAAATACCCTCCATTGGTGAACTTGTACATGACAGATGACACGTACACCATCTCTATAACCCCAAAAACAATCAAGAACACCAAGATCCACCAAATGCTCGTCTTCCATATGATGAGCATTATAAGACTGACCATTAAGGTTGTAATAACCATAACGGTTACGACAGCAATTCCATAAGCATTTCCGATTTTTTCTGTTGTTTTGAAGGAAATAGTGACGATAACACAAGCCACCATGAGCAAGTAGTTAATCTCGGGGATATAGACTTGCCCTTCGTAGCTAGCCGACGTGTGAATAACCTTCACCCTCGGGAAACACCCTAAGCGTAGAGACTGAGAAACTATCGAAAATGCTCCAGAAATCATCGCTTGGCTTGCTATGATTGTTGCTGCTACCGCCACAACAAATGTCGGCCAATACAATGGATCTGCATATTCAAGAATAGAAAGAAAGATTTCGTCGAAAAAAGAAAGAAATAATCGAAAGATTAATAGTTTGAGTTCCTCGTAAGGACAATGAGAAGATATATGTTCTCAACGAACCTGGAACTGAGTCATAGAACGTGTTTGAAACGTTTTCCGGATGTTTAATGAGATATGCAGCTTGTCCACAATAAATCGTAGCAAGGGCAGGGAATGTAATGCACGAGAAACTAATCTGCACATTTTTTTTTATATTATCGGATTAATAAATGATGAACCAACATTTTTTACATTTTCGGGTTAATAAATGACGAACCATCTAAGTTATATATATGGTCTAACCTGTATTGCTCGGACGTTGAAATGGCCAAGATCAGCAAACATGGCTTCGGTTCCTATTCATTGTTATGGAATTGTTAATGACATAAATAAATAATGATTATTTTCACATAGGGTGTGCACAAATACCCGAAAAACAGATATTAAATTAGGATATACACGAATATTTTAGATACGCATCCGAGTATTCTATTTTTTTGTAACCGATGCATATCCACACCCCTAATCTTTAGAACTCACCTGTTATGCAGAGAAAAATGCCTCCAAGCGAGATCCAACCCCTTTTGCCGTTTCTTTTAAAGTATTGAATGATATATAACGGGTTAATGGCGCGTAAAACGGTGATATCATGTTTGAATAAGTTGTAGAGTCCGATCCCTGTGAGGAATGAGAACCAAATGATGATGATCGGAGCGAAGGAGAATCCGACTTTATCGGTTCCGAATCGCTGAAACGCGAACAAAAGGATCAAGATTGCAACCGAAACTCCAACTACTGCATCTGCACATATCCAAAGCCAACCAAAGTTACAGCTTAGCCTTTTTGTCCTGAAATCCAACTTCCATGCCAATGTGTTATAACAGAACTATTTCTTCATTTCGGGTTATTGTTCATGTCTACAGTATTGTTACTATTCATGATATATGCAGTATTTTTCGCAAATATAGAATTATTACTATTTATATATAAGATACATTTTGTATATTAATTCGAATACCCGATTGTGTGGTGTGTTAGTTTTAATTAAGGGTTTGTAACCAAAAGAAAACACGACGTATGTTAAGAATGTAACATTACCTTGTCCAAGAGATTTGATTCCACCAACAGAAGAAAGCACTTATAGATCAAAAGAAAAAGAAAATCTGTTAGTTGATTCTTTGAACAGACTAACTAAAATGGGTTATCTTCAACAACAAAAAACACAGGTTCTAAGATATCGCTAGAGCTTTCATATGGTCAATCTAGACAATATAGATGGGATATATAAATTTATATATATATATATATATATATATATATATATATACACACACACACACGTGGTCTTATCAATTATAAGAAGGATATATATATATAGTACCTGAGATGGAAGGAGTGAGAACACCATCACCAATGACCATGGAAGTGCCCATGATGGCGAGGAGGAAGAGAAGAATCTGAGAGAATCTGCTGTTCTCGAGCTTCTCTTTGATCTTGTGGGCTCTTTTAAGTTGTGTCGTTGGAGGTTCAAGCCTGTAGTTCGATAGATCCTTGTCTTCCGGCTCTTGGTTTGGAATCAATCCGATTTTCGCATATCGACATATCAATGAATATAACGCAAACGTTCCTCCTGCATCCATGATATATATTATACATTCGGTACATACGGTCCATGCATGCAATGATGAATAATAACATCAATTGACATATATATATATATATAACACAAAATTTAATGTGAATCACAAGCATTCGTTATATATAAACATGCAAATCTAATTAGTCATGTATGTATTTGGGTATCCTTCATATTTATTTATTTAACCTACTCTAGCTAGTTATATAAAACCAAAACCCTAGTTCCTAAGATAATTTTGAAAAATCTATTGTAGTCGAAATTGAATTAACATATTTGAAAAATAATTAATCGTATCTAAATCGAATTTGATATCAAATTTGATTGGATATATTTTTTAAAATAAAAAATCCAAACAAAAAAGAACTAAACCGAAACCCGAAAAGTTTACTCATAAACCAACACCTAGATTTTGTTAAATAAAAAGTTTACTAAACAAAAAATTTGATTGGATATATATAGAGGGAGAGATGAAAATGAAGTATAGTTCAACGATGAGATCATCTCATTATAAAAATATAAACTATTCCAGCTTCCAAATCTTAAAAACGACATGGCAACGTCATCACGCCATGAAACAGAAGAAGTCAAACCTGCGACATCTTGTTGGAGTTCTTAAGAAAACCAAAGATGCGAATCTAAGAATATAATAAAAACTCAACGACACCTTCAATTATTTCTTTTATTTTTTCATAAAAAAAATACTTCTAGTATAGGTTTAACCACGTTTATTTCTTTATTAATTTCTTCGGAATCACGCAATCAAATTTCAATATGGTTTTGGTTTAATTTCATTTGGTTCAGTTTTTTTAAAAAAGTGAATAAATATCGAAATTCAATTTAGAAGAAAAAACTAATTTATTCGGTTCCATTCGGTCTTCAGTTTTTGTTAAAACAATTGCTCGGCAAAATAAAGAAACACAATTTTACCTAAATGGGTTGAATAAAATTTTGATTCATTTCAGTTTGGCCACTTCTGTTCCTTCCTACAACTAATTAAAAATATAAACCCTAAACAAAGTATTTCATCGATCTACCACTCGAACTATATTATAAATTTCACACTTGCTCATGTGATAATGTTTTCATTAGCACATACCGATTTCCTCAAAACCGATAATTTTTTACGCAAAAAATAAATAATTAAATAAATAGATTCGTACACATATATATGGAAGTAAACGATATTTAAGAAAATAATAAATTAAATATAAAAACAAAATATAGAGTAATTATACCTTCGCCGTTGTCGTTGGCCCGGAGGACGATGAAGACGTACTTAAGAAGGGGGATGAGAGCGAGCGTGTAGATGATGAGCGAGAGGACACCAACCACGTCATCTTTTTCGTCGATCCCATCAGTTTGAAACGCCAAACTCAGCGTCGTTCTCCAACTCATCTTTAAAAACAAAATCACAAATTTTATATATATGTATATATATATATATAAAGAATCAAATAATATAATTGGTATAGATCTTGATTCTTGGAACTATCGAAATCGTCAATAAAACAACATTTATTATATTAGTTAAATAGGCTTTCATTAGGACACTAGGTATACCAAGGATGGACGATATTTTGTAGAGTTTTTAAGAATCGAAAATAATTAAAAAAATATATCTGTATTATATATTCGAAGGTTAGGTTTTTCTACGATTATATTCTAATATTAAATCAAGAATAGTAAGAGTTTTTAATAACATTTTGCTCAAATCTTTAAAAATATAATATATAATACCAGAGAAGGTTTAGCGACATTCGATAGAGTTTTTCCCGCTTCTACGTGGAAAGAGTCGATACGATCGAGTTTCTCCCACGACATCTGATGCAAGAACACATGAGATATATATATTAGTACTATATATAGGAAGAACAAGATTCTCCATATAATGAAACATTGATCGAAAATTATTTATTTTCATATATATGATTGATTTTGGAAGCAAATGTTGTAATCAATGTATACATGTATGATCAGAAAATGTGAAGAGCATACCTTCCTGTCTTTCAACTCGTTCTCATGACCCGCTTGGTCATTGGTTGGCTGTTTATCTTCCATCTCTCTCTCTCTCGGATTTGTTTTTGTGGGCTTTAGAGAGAGGCGAAAAGGGAGTAGAAATGCTCGCAAGGGAAGGATTGGTCTTTATAGGCAACAAGATTTCATTGACTTTGATTTAAGAATGTGCCAATGGTGAATAGCCACTTACTCCCATTCTCAATAATTACACTTTTTTAGTGATTATACCAATGCTTGGACGCGTTCCTTACACGTCTTATAGCCGACTGTTGAACTGTTAAACAAATCTTGCTTAATTAGGGCAAATCTCTTGCACAAAATTACAAATAACGCACACTACATATACAGTAACTTTTTTTTGTTTTGGTAAAGTGCATATATAGTAAGTGCAATATATATATATATATATACGGAGATATGTTGGTAATGCTAGCGTTTAATTTCTTCAATAATATTAAGATGAATAGTATTTAATTCATATTGCATTTAATGAAAAATTAATATTGATTTCATGTGAGTACTATTAATACAACAAAACTAATTTTTGGATTCTTTTTTACCTTCTGACTAGCTTAAAGATTAATTTTCCTAAATTTACCTTTGTATATAGATCAATCCTCATATATTTTTTTTTCCAAATTATTCAATTTCATTCATATTTAATTTATATATGATACGGTACAAAAAATTTAAGTTAATATGATTCAAAAGAGGCAAAATGAATTAACTGTATGTATGTATTTATGTATGTATGTATGTATGTGTGTGTGTATGTATGTATGGAACCATAACCGCATTAATTTTTTTTCTTTCTTCGAAGGGATTAATTAACCCAATGATCAAACTCTTCTTTCGACCAAGATTTCTATCGAATCCGTCATTAGATTCACCGTAACAATAGATGGAGGATTATCCAACCATTTCAAACCCAATTCCGTTCCTAACCGCATTAATTTTTTAGCTTAGAGTGATGTAATTTATATATATATATATATACATACTTTAAAAAAATGGCCCAACTATTGATGAATGGAGAGAGGGAGAAAGTCAACCAGGGTCCCGGAACATGGTACGGGTGCACCGGTAAACATAAAATATAAATTAAATATGCTAATAACGTCATAAAAATGTCAACTTTGCCTCTAATCATTTTGTAATGGCGACAACGACTCTAAGTTCTATATCAATCGAAATTTTATTAATATATGATATTTATATAGGATGACTCAACTTGTAATAAATATCTTATAAATTCGATAATTTCACTAAATAAAGTTTATAAATGATAAAGTATATTCATGGAGTTTAAAGAATACCCATATGCGTCTATCCCACCCCGAGTTCGATTGTCATGCTGGGGATAAAGTATTCACATGGCTTCCCTCCGGTCTCGGGATTAGTCTGTACCTCGGCCCAAGATACGTCGTCACCCAAAAAAAAAAGAATATGAACAAAAGTTAATATAAAATAATGTTATATATATAACACCACAATTAATACGTGTAACAAAATTTGTTATAATAGTAGTAGTTGTAGCAATAATGTACCACTTAATTATTATAAAATTTATCAGTATAATATTTATCTAATAATTGAATTTAGTATCAATATATAATAGAGAGTGAGAAAGTCAACCAAAATAATGTTATATATATATCTTATAAATTCGATAATTTCACTAAATAAAGTTTATAAATGATAGAGTATATTCTTGGAGTTCAAAGAATACCCACATGAACAAAAAGTTAATATAAAATAATGTTATATATATAACAGCAAAATTGTCAATTAATGTGTAACCCCAAAATTGTTATAATAGTAGTAGTTGTAGCAATAATGTACCACTTAATTATTATAAAATTTATCAGTATAATATTTATCTAATAATTGAATTTAGTATCAATATATAATAGGTAAACTGTATTTGGTATGACATAATTAATCGTTTCTTTAATAATATTCCGATTAATATTTTTTGTTTATATTATTCACAGGGTTTTATTGTCTTCGAAGTATTTGCAAATTAAGGAAACAATACAAAATAATGGCACTTTTTTATTTACCTATCATCATATAAAAAAAATCCTACTACTTTTGATTGTATATCATCCATAATAGACATAATATTGATTTAACCTAATCTATCTTCTTTATTTACACTTCATACAAATAATGTCGGGCCGAATATTATTATTAACCTTGTGTTATAGATGAAAAATGTAGTAATTAATTAATATGGAGGGCGTGAAAGAGAATTCAAGGATATCGCTCATCAAATCCAGAACTACAACACAGAGATCCTTTAAAAGATACAAGCGTAACGAAAACCGCATCTAGATGAGAAAAAACCCTCCTTTGCCTATTGAACCAAAGATCTTCGATTCATAAACTATCACCCAAAAGCAAACAGACTACTTCAATCATTATGGCGAAATCACAAGTGCCTGAGAGAGCTATAAATGATTCAAGATGTTATCGTCATGTCATCATATAAGTGAAATTCCAAAATCTAACGGGAATATACAGTTCCATTCATGAGGATGAGTAAGCAAGCAGGATATGCAACACATCCCTATACATCAACAGAAGAAAATCAGACAACTAAGCGACTCAAATTTCACAAATTTCGAACCGACCCAGGAGAAATCGAAACCAAATCAATAGGAAGAGACCAAATCAACCCACGAAAACCCAAGATCCAATCAACCATCGAGGAACAGCGCAATCAAATCACATGAAAAAAAAATAGATCGATTTTTCACGCCAAAAAAAACACGGGAAAAAATATGAACCTGGAGCTGAGCTGATGGAGAGGAAAGCTAGAGAGACAGAAAGTTTGGGTTTTGATGAGAACTTGAATCTCCCCGAACTCGGATCTGAGCGGCGAAGGGAGATAAAAAATAAAGAGGCCGAAACAAGGAAAGCGTTCGCGAGTTTTTATATTCCCTTCGCCTGCGGCGTTAGGGTTTTCCTCTTTGCAACTCATCCTCCTCTTTTTCCGAATTTCCTATTTTACCCTTGTCCCTGCTTAATTATTACCCTTTTGGGTTTGACATCATGACATATGATGATGCCTATTGCCCAAAAACCGTGTATTTTTCTGCCTTTTACTCTATTAAATACTTGGTATTATTATTTTTCATTTATATTATAGTTTGTAGATATAACCATGAAAAAAAAGCATATATTATATTATTTGGGTATAAATTATTCCAAATCCATTTGAGAAAAATCGAGCATTTTAAGAAATGGCTTTAACAAAAAAAGTAATTATGTGCAATTTGTCTATCAATACCCGCGATAGCTTTTGAACCTTTATGACGTGGAATCTCAATTATGACGTGGATTCTCAATAACAAAAGCATTTTACAAGTAAAAAAAATATATACACAAGACTAAGAAACATAAATCCATAACCTAATTGAGGAAAATGGTAACAAACATGAAATGAAATGATGGCGACGATGATGATGATGATGATATTTAGACTCGGATTATGCATAAAACATTAAACAAATATTATATATTTCATCTAAATACTTCTATATAGGGATTTGCATTTCGTTACACTTTTTTAGTGGCGAATCGTATCGAACTGAAAAATATGATATTTTTCCAATCTAATCGTCTAAATTTTTTAACAAAAATTCGAATTTTTGAAATCAAAGCGAATTTTAAAAAAACTCGAAAATATATTTTTTTAAAAGAGAAAATATTTTTTAATAAAAATTGAAATCAAATCAAAACCGAAATCAAACAAACTGAATATAACAGCCCATTGGTACAAAAACACTCATCATGGGTCAAATTTTGGATAATAAAGAGCCGAGAATCAAGAATCCATCAATTACAAAAATCTTTGAAGGGTCAAAACTTGGACTCCATGATGTGTAATCCATCAACTATACAGAAATGAATTCACATCTTTGCATTCTCTTGCTAAAGCCCGATTATCAGGTGAATGAGGCTGCAGAGAAAAGTTGGCAGTAGGTCAAGATCCAAAATAAAACAAAAACTTTGCTTCTGTTACCAGAATTTTAATAACGCGTTCCTTTATCACGAGCAACAAAGATCGTTGCAGAAGAAAAAATACAAAAAAAAACATTGAGATCATACAGATTCAGATTGGAAATTACTTCAAAGTATTATGATACTGATAAGCCCTATCGAGCCTTTGGAAGAAAAAGGAAAAAGAAAATGAGAACAAGGAGGAAGAAAAAGCAGAGGGGCAAAAGCGGCAAAATATTATAGTATGGCCAGCTGAGCACTATGGCTACTTGAATCCTTTTATACCTATGTATTTCCATATGTTTAGGTATGTTGGTTTTTATTTGAGAGTTAAGTGGTGAAAGAGAGCGGTGTTACTCTGTATAGGGGTAGACACGGATCGGATATCCGGAATTTTTGATATATCTGTATCCATATCCAATTCGCACAAATATTTGATTTTGTTATCCGTATCCGATCCGTAATTTTCGGATATCCGCAATTTCGGATATCCGTAAAAATCATGGATATTTGCGGATATCTGTATCCGACCTACAACGTTGTAAAAAAATTGAATTAAAATTAAATAATAAAATCAAACGCAAATAAAATATATAAATTACTTAATATAAACGATATTCACAATTTAAAATTTATAATTTAAACATTCCAAATCAATTCAAATACAAATACAATCATAATTTATCACATACAAATATATTCAAAGTTCAAAATTTAAAATATTAAACATAATAAATCTTAATATTCAAAAGATTAAACATTCTAAACTTCAATATCTATAAAATATTTGTTGAATTTCTTAAAAAACGTATAAATATTAAGCATTTTAAATATCTATATCAAATTATTTTTATATTTAATAATATTATTACAAAGTATGGATCGGATTGCAGATGTCAGATAATTCGATTTTGATATCTGTATCCGACAAATATCTCAAAATAAGTATCTGTATCCAAATTTCAATAACGGATTGGTTCGGTTTTTTCGGATATTTTGTCCACCCCTACCTCTCTAAACGTTGTCGTTGATATTCTCTTTGGATATTTTCTTAATTCAAATCGGTATTTT